TGGGGAGTGAAGCACCAAACCAAAGAGGATTATTCTTGAGCTTTAAGATCTGATGGATTGGCCTTGCTGGGTTTTGAACTTGTTTGGGACCTGTCATCCCTTTCTTCATTCTAATTTCTTCCTTTTAAAATGGGAATGTCTAGCTTTTTCTGTCCCATCTTGTATTGTGGATGCACAGAATTTGTCTGGTTTCACAGGTTCACAAGGCAGAATTTTGTGTCAATATGAATCAAGCCTGGCATCTCACCTGTATCTGGTTTAACTGACATTTAGATGAGACTTTGGATATAAGACTTTGAAGTTGACACTGGAAAAAGTTAAGGGGGCTATCGAGGTGGAAACAATGTATTTTGCAGGTGAAAGTGGCTATTTTGAAGGGCTGGGACAGAATATCACAGACTGAATGTTTGTGCCCCCCTAAAATTCACATGTTAAAGCCTTAACCCCAATGTGATGCTGTTTGGAGATAGGGTCTTTGGTAGGCAGTTAGGGTTATATGAGGTCATGAGGGTAAGGCCCTTATGATGGAATTTGTGCCCTTGTAAGAAGAGACATCATAGCACATGTTCTCTCTCTCTCTCTCTCTCTCTCTCTCTCTCTCTCTCTTTCTCTAAGACACATACCTAGGAAATGATAAGGTTGGAATTTGAACCCAGAAGTCTGATTGGAGGATTTTTCCCTTGACCAACTACACTACACTTTCAATAGCCCTTTTTGCCAAAAGATCTCTAGGAAGCAAGCCTGATCCTTTCTTAAAGTATATTTCTGTCTCCAACTTTTCATTTATACCAAGGGATAGAGAAAAGTGTGACTTGATTGAAGGTTCCAGATGCTGGAATTTATTTTTCCTTCTGTCTCTAAGTGGCTGGACAGAAATCCCCCTACCTTTCCCCGCATGAAGCAGTGTAGACAGGCCACCAAGAGAAGGAGCAACTGAATCTCTCCCTACAGGACTCGACCATGTCACCAACACCTATGCTGAAATGAGGTTTCACCAGATGCAGCCTGGCCCCCGAGGGGACCACATGGCTACTGCGAATCCAGGAGGGTCCACTGATGACGCACACTCCATGCAGCTCATCAGCCCACCGTACTCTGACCTTCTGTGGTCTGCTAAGTAGGGAGCATTTGGAGAAAACACAAACACATGTTTATGTGTAAGGTAAAGGGTCTGCAACAGTATTCCTGGTCTTTAGATTAACAGGTACAATAGATCAGGTCCACAGGTTTGTGGCAGCCAGATTTGCATCTTGGTAAGGAGTTGGCATATGGTTACAAGATGGTGTGACTGGAACCACACTTCTTACAAGAGGAAAAAAGGGTCCCAAGAATGTTTACAGGTTGAACATGGGAAGTGCCGAGGGGGAAATCAAGTCAAGAAGGTGCCCATGCAGATGTGGAGTTTAGTATTTGGTGGAGACAGGGGTGAAGGACCATAATGGAAAATGCGTGGCATTGTGAGGGGCATTAAAGGAGAGGTGTGCACGACCAGTCAAGAGGCAGGTGTTTATCACGGGGCCAAACCAGGCAGGGAGCATGGCTTCCAGCAACAAGAGATGTCTGTCGTACCATCTTCATAAATCCCAAACTGAGCCACCTCGTTTTCCTGCTTAAAGCCTTTCAGTCCTTGCCTCTACATGAAGACTGTGGCTGGAAAGCCTCTACTTGCCGGCCATGTCTACCTCATGTGCATTTCAACACCCTCATCTCATGACCTCTCCTTCTCTAGCTTTGTTCCTTCCACACCCTCTCCTGTTGGTTCCTGGAGGGTATCTAGCCTGCCTCACAGTCTTGATATATATAATTTTCTTTTTTCCAGATTGGACGGCTCCTCCTCTGGACCTTGGTTTAGTCGTATCCTTCTGGTCTCACTGCGAACACCCCAACCCGAGTCTCACTCCTTGCTCCTCTCAGCACTGCAGCCATAAATTCCTCTGCATGGGTGCATGGTAAGATTACATTGCGAGTCACCCACCTAGACTCTGAGGTCCATGAGCACAGGGACCACATTTGTTCTGGTGTCTCCCTGATGCCCACAGCACCTTACACATGTCTGGCTCTTAGAAGATGTTCATTGAGTATTTGTTAAGTGAATAAAATGAGATGAAAATCTCTGTGGCAAGAGCTGAGCTGTCCCTGTTCATGCCAGTATCCGGCAGTCCCCTGAGGCCGGAGTCAAAGGAGCCTGGAGAGTGAGCGCAGCCTGGCTTGCCCCGTGGCCACCCCCTCTGTGACACTCTGGCTGGAGGCAAACAGAAAGGTGTTGCTGCCAATCAGTCACGGCATGCATCCGCATGCAGTGGAGGGATGCACCTGGGGGCTGAGGACCAGTCTGCATGCCGTGTGCCCGCCGCGTGCCCTGGCTCAACTGCCTCAGTCTGAAGAGGGATACTTTCTAGTTGGTCTGCCAAGAGCTGGGAGCCTTTGGTAATTCATACAAAGACACAGTAGGGGCCATCCAGGACCTTGTCAATAATGCAAAGGAGTGCAGACCAGCAAGCCAAGGATGGCGGGACAGGGGCAGGGACATGAAAGAAATTGAGTCTCGGGATGGCTGAGGTTTAAAGCTTAAGTGGCCAGCTCATTAGGCCACAGAGGCAGCCTCTGTATCACAGAAGTGCATCAGCCAACCCTGAAGTCTTGCACAAATGAGGGAGTCAGTGGCACTTTGTCGAGATGCACCAGTCACTTTACCATGACCTGGCCCTATGTAACTTGGAGGGAAAGGCATACACCAAGGGATCCAGAGAGACAAGACAAAGGAAAATAACTTTTTCCTAGTTTTTGACCAAAAACAGCATCCCCATTGGGAGGAGCGGCTTCTATGTCTGGTCAGAGTAGCACTTTCAAAAATTTGGGTCCTCCTCTGCCCTCCCCTTCAACCCTGAGCATCTTGTCAATACAGCATCCCTTGAGAACACTGATGCCCTCCTTCCCTCATATTCCTTTTCCTGTGGGCACAGATGGATCTGGGAGAAATGAACACATTCACCTTGTGTTATGGATTTGCAAAGACTCAGGACAACCTTTAAATCATCTACCCCCAGGGAAAACTAAGAGGATGGAAGCCTTAGCAAGGTCATTGCCAGTCTTTCTGATAGTGGAACTTGGCCTGGTCCCTCCAGCCTCAGAGCTTCATCCCCTGGAAGTCAGATCCATGGCTCCCTTCTACAGATGGTTCTTGCAATTGCTGTTACCAGTGATGTTGTAACCTGTTCTCTTTTCTCTCACTCCCAGCAGCAGCCAGAGTATCAACCAGTCAGCCCTTGAAAGAGGAAAGCTGTTCCAGGCATGAGTCTGCGGCAGGTTGTGTGTGGGTCCAGGCCCCCACCTCGCACTCACTCCATCCTAACAGGGGCAGGAGGTGGAAACATTGCTAGACGGTCTGTTTCTGAGAGGGATCAACCTGCTGCTGAAAGATTTATCGTCGGAGAATGGTGAGGCAGGAGAAGGCCTTTACTTGAACCAAAATTGGTCATTCAGAGTTCATTCTGTAACCTGATCATTTATTTATATTTTATATACCTTCTCCCAAGGAGAAGAGGATGCACGTGGGACCATGACCTCATTGAATATAGTGTGGTCGACTGACTATCTTACTGGACAGGCTCTTAGAGACTTTTGTGTGTAGCTCCTTGGAAAATTGCTTTAACCCTTTGGGTTCTATGTGAGCTCCAGTGAGCCAAGACACATGAGGTTTTACCTTCTATATTCACATATGTTACAAACAATGAGACCTGGCTCTTGGTTCCAGCAGATACCTGCTCTGTACACACACGTATCTCTCCCCAACCATTCCTCAAAGAGGACATGGCTGGTGAGGAGTGTACTGTTCTAAAAATCAGAACATTTTCTCTGCCCACAAAGCTTTAGGCTTGTCAGAGTGTGATTATGCCATTCCTATCCATGGTTATTTCTAGGATATAACTTACTTCACAGGGGAGGTAACAGAGATCTAAGGAATAATTTGCCCAAAGTCTTTGGCCAGAGCTAGGATGTGAGCTTGTTTTGTGGTGCTAAGCCCAGAGCTCTGTTCTTCAAGGTCCCTAAAACCATCTCAGGGGGATAATGGGGGCTGACAGGAGGAAATCTTAGAAGAGTCTGCTTGCCATTCCCACTCAACCCCTCAAGGTTAGGTAGACCTCCTGGCTTCCTGATTCAACATGACCTTCCATCTCTGAAAATAGCCATCAATTCATTGCATAACTCCTCACCCCCACCAATGAACTGTTCAAACCTGACCTTCAGCCAATTGGCCTGCATTGGGAAGGAGGCCTCATCCTGGATTGGCTATTTAGACTGGAACAAGGTGACACAGACTTGGGCCTCCATGGAGTTTATTTAAGGCTGAGAAGGGAATGCCCAGAAGCTTTGGTTGATGACACTCAGAAGCCACTCCTGTTTCCCTATCTCTCAGTCTTGTCTGGGATTCTCGGAAAGCTCCCTCTTCTTCCTCGAGATGGTGTAGAATACAGGGGAGGTTGGTTCAGTCAACACACTCCCTCTACCAAGTCCTTCCTTGCCTGCCTCTCATCCTGGCGTCTAAGGGGAGCCATACACTGGAGTTCTGGCCAAGGAGGTGAAAGCACCACTCCCTGGGCTGGATTACAGGATCCAAAATAAAGAGGCAAAGATGTGCTCTTCCAACTTCTCGCTGACTGGAAAGCAGATGTTATGCCTGGAGGGGCTGAAACCATCTGGAAAACATTTTTTAAAAAAGCTACAGAGCTAAAAGATCATTGAATTAGGATATCAGCCCTGGACATCCCACCTTAGACTCTGTAACATATAGAGAAAGGAAAATACAACTATTGGTTCACTACCCTGTGAGTTGGGTATTCTGATATTTACAGACAGAAGAAGCATCTTCTTGAGCTTAGAACTAATGGGAACTTGACTTCTTTTAATCCTGTGAACACAGATTTAAATGATCTGAACATCTCAACTTTGGCATGGAGCCCAAGGAAGCCATCTATGTATAAATATCCAGAGGAACAAACTTTATATTTAAGAAGGATGATCCATGAGTTGCTACTTCTAAATTTTCACTCCTTTACAGACTGGAACTCAATAAAAGTATCCCGGTCAGCTTCTTTAGGTTATTTGAAAAGAAACATATAGAAAACCTTGAAGAAGGTGAAGAAGATTATTGCAAGCATAGAAGAAACATGGAATGATCTGGAAAACTGACCAGATGTTATAGTCAAGAGTCATTGGAAAAGACCCTGATGCTGGAAAAGATTGAGGGCAAGAGGAGAAGGAAGTGACAGGATGAGATGGCAGGATGACATCACAGACTCAACAGATGTGAGTTTGAGCAGACTCTGGGAGATAGCGAAGGAAAGGTAAGCCTGGTTTGGTACAGTCCATGAGGTCACAAAGAATCAGACATGACTGAGCAACTGGACAACAGAAACATTCCATTTACTACTCATTCATTCATTTGTGGATTTATTCATCTTGCAACTCACCTTTTTACTGGCCACAAATAGTCATGCCAGGTGCATGGATTCATGGTAAATATAATTTATCTGCTTTCAGAAAACTTTAATGTAGAGATCTCAAGGCAGCAAGTGCTGCCTATAAAATGTGATGAGCATTTGGATTGTTGGGATCTGCACACATTTCATAGAAAGAGGGAAAAATACCTCAGCACAGCCAAGAATAAAAAATCCAAGCCCACATCTTCAGCTTTCTTTTTCCTTTCTTTTCTTTTCTTTTCTTTTTTTTTTTTTTTGGTTCTCCTAGCATTTGTGCTCTCCCAAGAAGAGATCTGAGAAGACTGATTTGAAACCAGTCAGACTGAAATGCCAGTCTTGGAAGGTGACTGGATTCCCTCCTGCCCAGTCATGGCGGCTGCTTCTGAAGTGCTTACACAGCCTTGTCTATCTGCTCCAGCTGCCATAACAAAATACCACAGCCTGTGTGGCTTCAACAACGGAAATGTCTTTTCTCACAGTTCTGAATGCTAGAAGTCCAAGATCAAGGTCCAGCAGTTTAGAGTCCTGCTGAGAACTTTGTGACAGATGCCTTTCTGCCGTGGCTTCACGTGGGAGAGAGAAAAAACTGGTATATCCTCTTCTTCTTATGAAGGCACCAACCTTGTCAGATTAGGGCCCTGCTGTTTGAACTCATTTAACCTTTGTCACCTCCTCTCAGGCCCCGTTTCCAAATCCAGTCACATTGGGAGTTGGGGCTTTCACGTATGGGTACTGGGGGGCTGGGAGACATGAACACTGAGACCATGACAGTGACTGAATCTTCCTGCCTGCAGGACACTCCTCACAGACGTCACAAAATCGGAAGAAAATTAGGGCCAGTCGTCTTCAAACATGGCTCTTTAGGTATACGGACTTTTCCTTCAAACATCCCAGTAGAAAAGGATGTGCTCCCCTGGTAGGCAGCAAAATTAAACCACCTGGAGGGCACAGCCCTCAGGGTCTCCCCCTGCAGAGCACCCAGCTTATCCACATCACGCAGATCTCACATCTGGCCAATGGGTATTTCAAAGAATGTGCTCCCAACACCAGGATGTGTGTGCAAAAAATGGAGAGCCACTGATTGGGGTAAGGGGTGTGGGTAAAGGAGAGAGGCTTCCGTGGAATATAAAATGTGCCTGGGGATCTACTTGTAGGTGTGTCTGGGTCTCACACATGCAAGTAAAAGCCAGGGCTCTTGAGGTGGTTCTCTAACTGAGGTCAGCGTCAGAGATTTGCATTCTCATTTAACAGAAGGGTGTGAGTGCTCAGTCGTATCCGACTCTTTGTGACCCCATCGAATGTAGCCCACCAGAATCCTCTGTCTGTGGGATTTTCCAGGCAAGAATACTGGAGGGGTTTGCCATTTCCTCTTCCAGGGGATCTTCCTGACCTAGGCATTGAACCCATGTCTCATGCACTGCAGGTGGATTTTTTCCTGCTGAACCATCAGGGCATTGTTTAACAGAAGAGGAAACCCAAAAGAAGTGAATACACCAAAGTCATAGGAAAAGTCTGTGATAAAAGCAGAGTTTCAGGGACTTCTCTGGTGGTCCAGTGGTAAAGTATTGGACTGCCAATGCCGGGGACACAGTTTCAATCCCTGGCCTGGGAACTAGGATCCCACATGCCACAGGGAAACTAAGCCCGTGTCCCACAGTCACTGAGTCCATGGGCCACAGCTACTGAGGCCCACATGCCCTAGCACCCGTGCTCCACAAGAGGAGCCACTGCAGTAAGAAGCCCCTGCGCCTCAACCAAAAACAGCCCCTACTTGTTGCAACTCGAGAAAGCCCTCACATAGCAAAGAAGACTCAGCACAGCCATGAATAAATGAATAAATCTATTTTTTTAAAAAAAGAGTTTCCCAAGCCCTGAACCACTGCTTCCTGCCACTATCAGGATGCCTGCACAAGTCTTAGTGCAGGAGAGGACTTGATCCAAGAACCAATCTCCCCTCCTGATTTAAATCTCTGATGGTTCAGTCTTGCTTTTAACAGTGTTAGCTACTGCTCAAGGGTCCTCTCCCAGAGTTTTCCTATATGTAAAAGACAACACACCTGGAAAAAAGAGAGCCCTGAGGCTTTCAACATCAAAATTCAGATTGGCATAAGCCAAGAGCCCCCAGGGAAGGATAGTAAAAAAGTAAGAATTGCATATTTCCACATCTGGTTTCAATGAGACTTATGTCAAATAATTTTATTATTTGACAAAAGCAATCCAAAGAAGTATTTTGTTTTTCCAGGATGCCTTGAAATATCATTAAAATTCACCTACAAGCACACAGACACAACATACCACCTGCCTGTAGTGTGAGATCAAATGAGAAAACAAGGACCTGGGCCTCCAGAAAAGGAAGAGACATGACCTGCTGTAGGCGGGGAGGGTGGGTGGGGAGGCCATGCTGTTGCTTATCGTAGCATTCCTGTCCCCACCAACCTGGAGCAAGCGATCTGTTTTCAGCCTGCCACCAACCAGGAAATGGCTCTGCTAAAATACCCTGTTGGCTCAAATAAGACATATCCCCAGAAAAGCAGAGACCACCACCATGGGCCTGCGAGATCACATGAGAAATGTCACTCCCGAACCAGCAAAGGAACAACAATAGTCATTTTCTAGAACATAACTGAGAAAGCAAACCTGCCAAAGGAAGTTTCTAGAAAGTCATCTAGTAACAGGTACAGAAGGTCTACAGCAGTGTAAACTCTTTGGTTGGGTAACTCCAGTCCTTTGAATTTATCCTAAAGATTTTTTTTTTTTCTTTTTGGCCATATGGCTTGTGGGATCTTAGTTCTCCAATGAAGGATTTAGCCTGGGGCCTCCAGCAGTGAAAGCACCCAGTTATAACCACTTTGCTTCAGGGAATTTCCTCCTAAAGATATTTTCAAGTGTATAGGAAAGAACAGTTATTGTTCAGAGATAGTCCTTCATGGTTCTCTTATGTTCCTACACACCTTGTTGGATATGCCAAGAATGCAGCATCCTATTTCTTTACCCAGTCCCTTTCTCAGAATGGTGCTTAAAGCACCAAGTGACCTTGAAGGATAAGGTAATGTCTCCTCCTGGGGCAGAGAGGGCTTGCCTACTGCTTACACAGCAGAAGTAGATTCCCCAAACCCGATATTCCTCAGCTGCAAAGCCAACCTACTGCATTCATAGCATCCATCTGGGCCCATGGAATTACTGCTTTTCTTAGCATTCCTGGGGCCAATGGAACAAGTGGCACGCTGATGCTCCTGCTGTCTCTGGTGGATATAGGTGATAAAGTCTCTTGTCTCTGATTCAGGTATCTTGTGTCTTCTGCCAGCATCCACAACACAGCAACAGGTTTACTTCTGAGCTGGTAAGTGAGTAAAATCAAGTTCCAAACCTGACACTTTGTTTAGTAAAAGCTATGAAGCTAAATGACCTCCAAGTAGAAGTGATTGGATTAATTATGGTATACATGTACCCAAAGAACGGTGCAGGCATTTTAAATGACTTCAGGGTGCATATTGATTGACATGAAAATAATATAACAGTATATTTTTGAGTGAAAAGAGCACTTGAGGGCATTCGTTGTTGTTGTTCAGTCACTAAGTCGTGTCCATCTCTTTGCAACCCCGTGGACTGCAGCACACCAGGTTCCCCTGTCCTTCACTGTTTCCCAGGGTTTGCTCAGATTCATGTCCATTGAGTCAGTGATGCCATCCAGCCATCTGCTGCCCCCTACTCCTTTTGCTTTCAATCTTTCCCAGCACAGGTTCTTTTCCAATGAGTTGGCTCTTTGCATCAAGTGGCCAAAGTATCAGTCCTTCCAATGAACATTCAGGGTTGATTTCCTTTAGGACTAACAGGTTTGATCTCCTTGCAGTCCTAGAGACTCTCAAGAGTCTTCTCCAGCACCACAATTTGAAAGTACTAATTCCACAGCAGATTATGCTAAGTAAAATAATCCAGACAGGAAAAAGCAAATGCTGCATGATATCACCTGTATGTGGATTTTTTAAAAAGTCAAACTCAAAATAAATAAAGTCAAACTCATAGAAACAGACAGTATAAAAGTGGTTGCAGGGGCTAGGAGTTTGCAAGAAATAGAGAGAGGCTGGTAAGACTTGAGCTATAAGATGAATAAGGTCTGAGGATATCTGGTGGATATCACTGTATCATGTTCTCACACAAAAAAAGAAGTTTTGGGTGTGTGCATTAACTAGATGAGGGGAGCCGTTGCACTATGTATACATGATTCAAATCACAATGTACACATTAAATATCTTATAATTTTATATGTCAATTATACCTCAATAAAGCTGAAATTTAAAAAGATGATCTGCCACTACTATGAGTTATATCATAATTCATCCACAAAGTCTGAGAGTTAGCCTTCAGTCTTGCTGACTCATGTCTACATGAAACCTTTTTAAATCTCTCCGAAGCCTCCCTTCCAGCTTGTTTCCCTGCTTTGGCCTGATCTTGGTCCTCCCCAGCATCTTTCTGGAGATTGTACTGATCTTTAGACTGGTCTCTGTCTCCCTTCCACATCTCTGAACCCATCTATAACTCTGCTGCCACATTATTTTTTCTTAAAAAAAAAAATTTTTTTAAAAAGCCCACAGATCAGAGCATGTCACTCCTTTGCTTCAAATACTTTAGAGCCTCTCAAATACTGACAAAAGGCAGCATCATCAGCTCCTGCAGCGTCACCAAGCTTCTTTGATGTTGTCCCCCTCAACCAGCCCTCCTGATTTGTTCCTTTTGATTCCTTGCCCTTCTTTATGGAATTCACTACCTTAAATCCATCAGGTGAATGCTTATTTCAAGATTCAGC